GTGCTGTCGTGTACCCCGCGATGACCACATTTGCCATTGGTGACGGTATTACCGCCTCGTCTCTCAACCGCCACGAAACATACATCACCTCGTCATTGACGGGCAATATGCTGGTTACCGCGTATTCCGGGCTTGACAGTAATTCCGCGAGATGTTGACGAGTTTTTACTATCTCGGTATTCGGTAGGTTGTTTCGTTGGCCGAATTTTCCCCAAAACGAATTGAGACAGAGTTTGGCGACTGAGCGTAATCCGGGATTTCGCGCGATGCTGCTTTTATTAAGAGCAATACTCTCAGTCGATTCATATTCCCGAAGGTATCGCTCTTTAGCAACATCGTCGTTTTCGCATTTGCTCGGCCACCCACTCGCCTCTTGTTTTAACTGTAAGAAAGTGTTGATATATTCGACAAACAGCCCGCCTTCCCGTGTACCGGGATCGTAGCGCGTACTTTTATACTGCCAGATCTCGTCTACTCTCGTCACGAGATAACCTTTCTCGATTGCTTTACGCAATTCGCAGGACACCCACGTACCCTCGAGCTCACGTTCCGCGGGGTCGTCGTAAGTGCACACTGCGCGAGAAAATACTTCGCAGCATGTACGACAAAGCGCAAATAATAATTTTCCGCCTACCCTATACGGTAATACCGGATGGAAAAGATCTCGCGGAGGGAGTACCCGACAGCGCACGAGCCCTTCGACTCGCGAGAAGTCGAAATCCGGTGCTGATCCAATCAACTCGGTACACTCAACGCCGACGAAGATATCGGGATGTCCGATTGGAAAAACTCCGGTCTTGAGAACGTACGGGTACAGAGAACATACGTCCACGTAATGTATTTTCTCGTTGCCCGAGGTCTCGTAACGGGTCATGACATTACCGGTGCGACCGCCGAAAAATGCGTTACGAAGATCGAGCGGAGCGATTTTTATCATCGGATGGTTTTCGACAAATTCGCGCATCTCGCGATTCTCGCGCAATTCTTTGTCGAAGTCACATTCCCATTTTTCCGTCACGATGTAGCCTTTGCGACGTAATTGCGCTGTTATTGCAAGCGTTCGTTCAAAGCGGTCGTCGTACGTATCTTTCGGCTTCGGTGTTTTTTCGCGGTTAACCCTATAGCAAGTTGTACACCCGTGAAAAGAGCAACCGTGAAATTGTAGCACGTGACGTTGCGTTTCGCCGTTATTATTATCACACTCATAATACCCGTCGACGCGCATGCCCTCCGTTAAACGATGTTGCCATCCGTGTCCAGCGTGGATTATACGTCGGCCCAACTCGCGTTCCTTCAAAACTAGCCATTGAATAGCTTTGCGCGACTGCTTATCTTTATACTTGTATCCTCCCATCGGAATGATCCCTATCACCTCTTTGCGCAAGAAGTTCTCGCAAAAAACTCTCATGCACGTCGAGGCGATAGTCGTGCATTCCACGAAAGGACACACATTGCCGCGTTCTAGAAATATCTTTCGAAACGCCATGCATGCACGACGAAGAATAATGGCGTCGGTTCGACAATATTCGAGTATTTCATGCTGAAAGTCGAATACGGTGTTTTTACTCGACATTTCCGCGTGCCACGCGAGAAAACGTTCGCGCTCCTGCGCTTGCATTGTTTCGGGCGCGTAATATTTAACATTAGGCATCGGGCCAACGTACATCTGATTATTGATAGTGTTGAACAAATGTGGGAAGACGCCTTTACCGCAAGTATCCGGCAATCCGAAGGCTTTCGGCAATTCCGACAAACGCATCGGCATGTAATTGACACTATCGATAAATTTTGCACGCCCCGCCGTTAATACTATAATTTT